AAATATTGAAAATGCCAAAAGGCCCTATTAAATAATAAGCATTGGGAATTATATACATTAACTAAATTATATTTCCAATACCATCCCTTAATTTAGATACTCTATTAGAAGCTAACAACACCAATTTCATCTCTCAAGCAAAGAAATTGATCTATTTTAACTTCCTTCGCCAGAAGATCTGCTAGCTGTTTCTGAGTGTTGCAACACAGAACTTCTAACACTCCTTTCTGCACTTGACTTCTGAGAAAATGATATTTCGTCTCAATGTGCTTGCTTCTTCCATGTAGAACTTGATTCTTGGCAAGATCAATTCCAGATTTATTATCAATCATCAGCTTCAGAGGTTCGTCAACTTCAACCTTCAGATCATGCAGGAGATTCAGAAGCCAAACAGCTTGACAAGTAGCTACAACACCTGCGATATACTCAGCTTTACATGTTGACAGAGCCACGACAGGCTGTTTCTTGGAACTCCAGGAAATGGGTCCTCCCAGAAATTTAAACAAGTATCCAGAAGTACTTCTCCTATCCACTCTATCTCCACACCAGTCATAACCAGAATAACTTATTAATTCTGATTTTGTTTTACTTTCAGAAGGAAACATCACACCATATTTCAGGGTTCCTTTGATATATCTCAGAATTCTGACAACAGCTTGGAAATGAGACCACTTTGGATTACTCATGAATCTGCTAACCAATCTAACTGCATAACAAATGTCAGGTCTAGTATTGCATAAATACCTTAGAGAACTAATCAACTGTTTAAAGGTTATAAAATCAACAGAATCACCATCAGAGTTAGAATCCAATTTTTGATTGGTTTCTGATGGTGTTACAACAACTTTGCAATTCTGCAACTTAAATCTCTTCAGAAGTTCTAGTTCATACTTCAACTGATGCAAAATGATACCTTCTTCGAGTACAAAATCTTCATCCCTAGGAACATGTCATTTTTCCTCGATCTGTCATCTCGAACTCATTCATCAAAAATTCTTTGAACTTCTTTATATATTTTGGACAACTACCTGTTAGCAAAATGTCATCAACATAGAGACACACCAGAATCATTTGGTTATCAGAGTGTTGCACATAAACGCCATATTCTATCTCTCATTTATGAAACTTCTGCTTCTTGAAAAACGAATCAATTTTCAGATTCCAAGCTCTGGGCGCTTGCTTCAGTTCATATAGCGCTTTATTCAACCTGTATACCATCCTTTCCTGATTCTTTTTCACAAATCCAGGAGGTTGTGACACATAAACTTCTTCCTGTAATGGACCGTTCAGAAATGCAGACTTCACATCCAGATGCATTAGAGGCCAATTTCTATTTGCAGCTAAAGCAATCACTAGTCTGATTGTTTCATGCCTAGCTACAGGCGCAAACACCTCAAAGTAATCTAGCCCAGGTTTCTGAAAAAAACCTCTAGCTACTAGCCTAGCTTTGTGCTTGCCAATTGAACCATCTGGCTTAAGTTTTAACTTGAAAACCCATCTAACGCTGATGGATTTTTTATTATCTAGAAGTTTAGTCAATTTCCTTGTTTTTTTCCTTTCTATCGCCTCAAGTTCTTATTTCATGGCATTCAACAATTCTTCAATGCCCACTGGTTCAAAATCTACTAACATGAAACACTGAACGACTTCCCATTCAGAGTTAACTTCATTATCCCGCAACATGTCAAAATATGCAAACCTTCTTGGTTTTTGTCTGATTCTCTGTGGTCTTTGAGCTTGTTCTGAAGCTGCACCAGAACTACTACCTTCAGAGTTACCACCTTCAGAATTTTCCCTTCCAGAACTATAATCACCACCAGATTCTGGATCATCATCAGCATTTGGATCAAAATCAGATCCATTATCAGAATCTTCTTCTGACTCATCTTCAAAATCTTCAGAGTCAGATTCATCTTCTGAACTTTCTAAAACATCTTCAGAGGCTAACTCTGGTGTTGGCACTACACCAGAATCTGATTGAAACTTGTTCCAATCCCATGTTTCAGACTCTTTCACCACAATATCTCTGCTGACTTCAACTTTATTAGTTTCTGGACAATAAAGCTTATACGCACATGTACTGTGGTGCCCCACCAGCAACGTTACTTTGCTTCTATCATCCAATTTTTGTCTTCTCGCTTATGGAACGTGTTTGTAATAGACAGAGCCAAACACCTTCAGATGACTGACACTCTGCTTATCTCCAGTTCATTTTTCTAAAGGAACAACTTCCTCCAGCTTCTTCGTTGGACACCTATTCAGAATATATGTTGATGTGGCAACAACTTCTCCTCATAGCACGTGAGGTAGCTTTTTCTCTTTCATCATGCTTCTAGTCATATCAAGCAAAGTTCTATTTCTTCTTTCAGCAAGATCGTTGTGCTGAGGAGTATATGGAGAAGTAACCTCATATTTTATTCCTTCTCCTCACAGAACTTCTGAAACTCTATAGATTTATACTCACCCCCACCATCCGTTCTCAGAATCTTCAACTTCTGACCACTTTGCTTCTCAGCTTTCACTTTAAACTTCTGGAACTCAGTAAACACTTCATGCTCGAACTTGATGAGTGTTACCCATGTCATTCTTGTGAACTTATCCACAAAAGACACAAAATATTTATTTTTTCCAAGTGAAGATACTGGAAATGGTCCACACACATCAGAATGTACTACTCCTAGAGCATGCTTCGCTCTGGGGGATACTTCTGATGCAAATGGAAATCTGGGTTGTTTTCTTTTCATGCACATCTCACATGACTTCTCAGGCTTCACAATCTTCGAAATACCATGTACAAGCTTCTTAGAACATAGATCCCCTAGGCTTCTATAGTTAAAATTCCCCAATATCTTATGCCACAACTTACTGTCACCTTCAGCGCCTTCTGCACTAAGACATGTTGCTTCAACTGTTTCTAAATTAACTTTGAAATTTCTCTCGCTTCCCTGTTCAGACTTTATAATCAACTTCTGATTGGAATCATACAACGCCCGGTGATTGTTTTTCATAACAACTGAGAAACCTTTCTCAATCAGCTGACCCACGCTCATCAGATTGCTTCTAATATAAGGAACATACCAAACGTCTTTGATCATAATGTCTTTCCCATTATTCACTCTAACTCTGACATCTCCCATACCTTCTGTATTAAGATACTTATCGTCAGCACATCTGATCTTTGTTCTCCTTCTGGAGTCAAAATCTATCAGCCATTATTTGTTTCTCGTTAAGTGATTTGAACAGACAATGTCCATATACCATCAATCTTCTGAGCATTTTCCATCAGAATTAGAAGCCATTAGTAACACAGGTTCATCATCAGAGTTTCTCTTAACCATATATGCTTCTTCTGATTTCCTTTCCTTGTTTGACCTACAATCTCTGGCAAAATGGCCAAATTGTTTACAAGAGTAACATTGAACCTTCCTTTTGTCATACCTCTCCTATCCTTTATGATATCTCTTATCATTAGAAGTTGAGGTTTCTGACTTCTGGAATCTATCACCACATCTATTCTTCTTCTGGTCTTTCTTGACAAAAGAAGCCTCCAGAGCTTGCTAGCTTCCCTCTCAGAAGTTCTCTCAGACAAACGTAACTCCTGTGCTTCTAAGCTGCTTTGCAATTCTTCTGTTCTCATGGTTTCCAGATCTTTAGAATATTCAATAGAAACAACAATGTAATCAAACTGAGGAGTAAGCGACCTCAGAATCTTCTCCATGATTACCTGTTCAGACAGAGTTTCTCCACACGCCTTCATCTCGTTAGTGATCAGAATCACTCTGGAGATATATTCAGAAACTTTCTCACTGCTCTTCATGTTCAAGTTCTCATATTGCTTTCGCAGGGATTGAAGCTTCACCTTCTTTACTGATGCGTCACCACCGTAACATCTCACCAGTAAATCCCATGCCCTTTTTGACGTTGTTGAATCAGCAATGTTCTCGAACACACTTTCATCTACACACTGATGAATATAGAACAGAGCTTTCTGGTCCCTCTTCCTCATCACCCTCTCAGCAGTTCTCTGTTCTTCAGTTGCATCTACTGCAGCTGGTACATAACCATCTGTAACCAGATTCAGAATATCATGCGCACCAAACAACACACACATTTGTATCATCCATCTGTTCCAGTTTTTGTCATTAAAGATTGGAAGTTTGGTGTTCAAACTACTGCCTCCACTCATTTTAAACCTTGCACAGATTTTTCAGATCTTCACACACACTGTTTCCCAACCCACAGATCAGATTTTGTTCAGATTTTGTTCAAGAAATTTAACAGAAAATCAATGAACCAAAATCAAACACACGGCTCACAAACACTCGTGTTTCCCAGGAAAAGCAGAACCAAGTGCTTTAGATACAAATCTGTTGGTGCAAGATAATGAAATGAGAGAAAAAGAATGAACAAAAATGATAACAAGACTACTGTTGTATTATAAATAGAGGAGATAGAATTGAGTACAATATTAATAGTTATACAACATATTTATACTAAATATTGAAAATGTCAAAATACCCTATTAAAAAATAAACATTGGAAATTGTAGACATTAACTAAATTATATTTCAAATAATTCATACCTAAAAGTTTAGCTTTCACTTTTAGAATTTGTCTTCAAAAATATTCAAGAATGAAAAATATGTGTAGTGAAAATTTTACAACAAAACTAACTACCTACCTATTGACATCATAAAAAAATTAATATGCTTATAATTGTGTTTAATGTTGACTTTTAATATTTAAAAAAAATTATAAGCTATATTTCAAAAAAGAATAATAAATATATTTAATAATATGTAAAGAATCTTCTATACAAATACAAACAAAAAATACATGTTTTAAATTAACATGATATTGTACAAGTGATTACATAAAAATGAAGTTGGTTGTTCAATATACTTGGGTTATTTTGTATGGTAGATAGGAGACACAAAACATTGGAATTAGAGATAGCAACATCATAATGCTCTTCTACACAAATTAAAGTAAATAACAAACTAATAATGTGAATGTCTTAAAATTGCAATATGTGGTGTTCCATTTTCTTCATCATCTCCATCAGACATTGATGAGTCCTCATCAGAATCCTGTTAAGCAGAGGAAAAATGGTTCATTAGTTGTGTGGTTGCAATTTCAGAAATCAAAACTCATAATCAAAATATTAATCTGTCAAAAAGAAAGATGTTAACATAAATAATGAGATGAAAAATACTTTTGAATTAATTAATTAACCTGATGATGATAATGACGATGGATACTTTTATGAATGGCACCTATAGTCCTAATAATTATGAACATAGGTATAATAATTCCACTGGCCCTTAGTATAAAAATCTACAAACACATTAAAACATAAAGTTAGAAGATTAATAAAAGTGGAAACAATATCAATTAAGTATACTTACCGTAAGAATTGTAAATGGGTAATCTTCCATTCCACTTGTAAGCAAAGCAAAAAGATGTCTTAGAAGTAATATGAGAGTAAACTGCAAAATCAAAAACAGCTACTTAATTAAACCATTTTTAACTCTTAAATTAATTTCAATAGCTAGTAATTCGGATTGAATCGCTTAATGATCATATACATGTATTAATTATAATTATAAGATATTGTTAACAAGTGGCTATTCTTTAATGGTTAAAAAAAATAGAAAATCTTACAGCTAAAGCCAGTGATCGACAACAAAACGCGCTTCTATCAGCAGCATAGGTGCATTCAACGTAATTGTTTTCTCTTCTTACACCTTCTTCATATTCAACTATTCTTCTATTTAATTCTTCTTCTTCTCTGCTTGATATTTCAAGGCTATATCTGTAAATTTCCAATCTAAATTAGTTCTAATTATACAAACTAATATGTTATACCAAAAAATCAATTTCAGAAAAATGCTATACTATTAGTTAGGAGAATCAATCAATCACCTTATGGTCATTACTTCATTTGATTTTTTACATTTCTTTGGTGGTGGTGCTGTATATCCAGGCTCATACTGCTGCAAAAATAAATATTTATATTTTAATCGTAAGTAAGTTCAGTTTATAGTTATGTAAAGACATCAGATATACAAATTCAATCCAGCGACATCTATTAAAATTCATACATACTTGTAAGCAAATTTCACAAGTTGTGTTTCCTTTTTCATTGCACCATGTTTGAATGCAATCTCTATGAGCAAACTGCGAAAAATTCAAAATGTCAACATAAAACGAGATGATCCAGAAAAGCTTAAGGAATTTTGATTTTACCTTAACTGTTCCAGAACAAGCACAAGGAGCTTCTAAGCTTTTGAAGCTTTCAAGCTCTTCTTCATGACATATTCTACAACGAGGAAAACCAGAAAGTGATTTCAAATCATCAATCAACAAAACAACTTCTCCTCCCATGTTTCTTAAAACTTGTGCTTTTTGGGTTTTCAAATTTTGTGTTTGCACACTGTTTTTCTCTGTTCTCTTTTCTCTCTAGAATCTAGAATTTATATGTAAGTTTAAAATTTGGATTTACAATATTGTCCTTGTATTACTTTTCAAGAAATCATTATGTCAATGTTAATAAGAGCAGGACTTTTTCTCTTTATTGTTAATTTTTTTTTAATTATTTATTTTATTTTTTGAAACCTAATATTAGAGCAATAAAATGTTTGACCCCTTCGATATAATAAATGGATTTGAAATTGTTGTAGAAATTCACCAGAGAGAATTGATATATATTATAAGACTAGACATTTTTGTGAGAGATACATTACTATCAATCTAAAACCTTAAGATGATAGGTGAGTGGATTCTTCCACTTATAATTGTTCAAGTCATCACATTCATATCCAATGTGAGACTATTTTCCCACTTACTCACACTTGCATTATTATTTTAACACTCTCTCTTAAGTGTGAGCCAATAATGCTCTTTCACGTACACTTGTACCGTTGTTGACACCTTATAAGGGGACACGACTTCCTGGGCATTTCGATACAAGTAAGTCGGTCCCTTTGTCGAATCAAACACTTTGATACCATTTTGTTAGCGCGTAAGACACTTTTAGTGAGAGAGAGAGGGAGAATAAAGGAAAATAAGGATTTTTACTATTGACTTTAATTATATAAATAATTATACAAACTATGACTATTTATATACACCTAACTTATACACTAAGTAGGCTAACAAATCCTTATTGGGCTTGGACTTAGGTTACACAACTTGGATTAGGTCTAATACCTTAACATACCCCCTATAATCCAATTGTCGAACATACTCTAAAAATAGTCAATCTAAACTATTCCTAATTTCTTTCTCAAATTCAGGAACCTGTCGATCTTCAATCCTTTGGTGAAAATGTCGGTCAACTGTGCTTCACTTGAGTAGTGCCTAACTTCAAGTTCACCTCAATTTTCCTTTTCCCTCAAGAAGTGAAATCTAGTTTCGATATGCTTACTCCTTCGATGCAAACTCACCTACTCTGGAAGGTATCAAGCCAAGAAAGAAATTCACTATTAGCAATATTAATTTGAAGCTAAACTCCTCAGTTTACAATCTCTTGCTTAATCCCTACCTAGTGCAACTTCTACCTAGAAACCTCCTAGATATGAGAAATTGTCATCTCAATTCCAATCACCACAATGATATCAAACAATCTCAGTCTCAGGGAATATTACAAGAAACCAAAAAGGAAGAACACACTTTCAAATTACAAATACTTAGTCTGCCTACAAGCTTCACTAAGAACAATACTCAACTATTGCTTACAAGCTTTGAGGAGAATAATAAATTATTGAACAAGTAACAATCAATCAACTCAAATGCATCAAAGATACATGAGGACGCACAAACAAACACACAGAGAACCTAAGAAACTATTAAACCCTAAATCCTTATTTTTCACAAGGTGTTACAATAAAAACTATGCTTAAAAACTAGGTCTTGGACGACTCCTTATATAGACTTTTGCAGTGGGATTGGACTCTTCAATCAAATCCAATCAGCAACTCCCAAAACCTGCAGAATCTTTTCCACAAAAATAGAAACAAATATCATAAATGTTTCCTAAAAAGTCTCAATGATACTTTTTAGAAACTAATCAAATATTATCTTGTTTCTAATAAAATCCTTGATTGTACGCACTAGTTATGAGTACAGAATATTGCAGATACTCAAATTTTCAAATTAAATCTTGAAGGATAAATATTCAGAGTATTGTCAAGATGTTCTGTTGTAACATGTTATAACATCTGCTAGAACATCTGTCAAATAAGGCACCTGCAGACTCTGTTGTACCAGTTGGACTAGATGTTATGACATTTTGTTTCAACATTAGGCCGCAATACATATTTTCCAAATAAAACATGTTTTGATCAAATTGTTGTCAACTACTTGTTTTACCAAAATCATTGCCAACCATAAAATTATAGACCTAACAATCTCTCCTTTTAATAAATTTTAGCTAAAACAACCAAAGACCAAATATCCTAGAGAGAGGAATAAAACCACAAATACAAGTTACATGAAACCATATAACTTTATAAATATAACACAACTCAAAAGCTTGTACAAACACAAGTTACATGAAACCATGTAAACTCTATAAATGTAACACAACTCAAAAGCTTGTACAATCAGACAGGTCTAATACCCCCTGTCATACACAATCAGTTCTCCCCCTCAAGGGAAAACTCCACATCAAAACATATGCAACAGGAGAGCAAAAGCTTCACCAAGAACTTCAGCACACACAAGCATGAACACTCATGCTCCCCCTTAATGATTGCATAAGCAACCACAAACATACATCTACTCTCCCACAAGCAGTAGCATACAATCCTATCACAATGCTAAATCAACATGTCATGACATGTGATGTAACATCAGAACACAACACTTTACTCCCCCTTTTTAGCCAAAATATTGACAAAAAATAACATAGAGTAAATGTACACATGGAAACACAGAGCACACTAGAATACATTGCACTTAAGCAATACCACAAATGGAAGCATAGAGTATAACAACCAATCCTGAGCACCAGATGGAAGAAAATTAATGGAACCCAACTTCTTGACCAAATTCAGGTGATCTTCCACCTCTTGCCTCTGTCAAAGACCCCCCTGCCCCTGTCAAAGAGCCTCGTGCATTCCTTGGTGTTGTAACCAGACCCACTGTCTAGAAGAATACCATACTTCCTTCCCTTCTTAGTAGCAATTTGTCCATGTATGTCATGCCTCCGGGTATAGAGGAAAGATGCAACATTAGTTGCATTCCTCCATTTCTGTAATTTCTATAAATCCTCAATAGTACAAGATCCAATGCTACTGTTTTTGATACCAGTAAGTTGTTCCTTGTTGTCCATATGCTCCAGAGTAACGAGATTGCCTTCAATAAGATTCTTGATCAGTTTTTTACAACTACCAAGGTCCTTGCTGCAATCATGCTAAATGAGATATCTGAAAGAATTTAGATCTTTAGAATGAAATGTCATGACATTTCTCTTGACATTATGTCTCTTCAACACCAGTTCAGAGAAAATTTCTCTTGTTTCTCTACCTTTATCTTCAGCAGTATACCAAGAAGCCCATCCATGCTTTTGACCCAAAAACCCAAGTTATTCCTTAAAGCAAAACATTCATCAGTATCTAATATCTTCATATTTAGTTCAGTGATGTCTCCTTTGTCATAGTGAACTATAATTAGTTCCTTGGGTTGTTCTAAACGTCCTTCAGTAGACAAGCTTATGTTGGATTGAGAACTCACAGATTCAGTGTTAGTGAGCTCACAAATTTTCTCCCTTAGAGCTTCAGTAGTTTGCACACTGGATGTTCCAACACTGTCTCTGACATCCACCTTTTTTATAGTAACTGAATCGTCAAATCTCACATAGATAGCTTCCATTGTCATATTCGTTCTGGAAGTAAATACTCTGTAAGCTCTTCTGTTTGAAGAGTATCCCAGAATTATTCCTTTATCACCCAACTAATCTTTCTTGTCAACTTGATCTTTGTCAATAAAGATCTAGAATTTACTTATAAAGATTTGAAAGTATTTAACTTTAGGTTTTCTTCCTTTCCAAACCTCATAATGAGTATCAGTGGTACCTCCTCTCAAGGTAACCATGTTATGAATATAGTAAGCAGTATTCATAACTTCAGCCTGTAACATGGTGGGAGAACTGACTTGGGTGTTTTGCGTTTGATCGCAAATGTTGCGGATAACAAGAGTTGCCACTGACTTTTCTTTTATCCAATAAGGAAAGGCTGAAAAGAACAGGAAATACCTTTCGAGATTATTTCTGAGTTCGGGGGGTAGATTATGAAAAGGGAAGGTATTAGCACCCTTTTCATCCGTAGTTATCTATGGGCTCTTAGTTGCTTGCTAGATCACTTGCTTTTGTTTGAAAGTGTGTTTGTGATATGGGTTTTGGAAGTATTTTGAAAAAGAATGTCTTTGGAAAATATTTCAAGATGAAAGTGTTGGTGTATAAAAATGTTTTTGTTGTGAGCAAGCGAGCAACTAAGAGTAACCTACCTACTCAAAAGGTCTTAAATATTTTTTCCTCCTCCTTTAGATGTTGCTATCTTACCATTGATTTGGTAAGAAGCCCCATCGGTGGATGTGAAGGGACGGGCGTGGGATGTTTGTATAGTCATAGAAGGCAACCTATGGGACATTTTAGCAATGTCTTTTAGGGACTAGATCATTTATCAAAGGCAACATTGAGGGTCATCGAGGGACTACGATCTTTTATCGAGGGTCTTTGCTAAAACGCCCATGTTCGAGGGACATGACTATTTTCCGAAAGGCAACAAGTGATATTACCCTAGGGGTGCATGTGCTTGAATAGTGTGCTTGATTGCATGAATTTAGTCTTTTGTTAGAGTTGTCTAAGATTTGTTTTTATCTTGTCACACCCTATTTTACTAGAAATGAAAAGCGGTAAGTTTGCGGAAAAATTAAATCATACGCTATTACATTAGTAGGGGAGTGGGGGTACAATTTACAAGTGGGATGAAGCGTATGTCTAAATATTACAACCATTTCGAAATAAACTATGAAGCAAAAATATGAAAACATATGAAAAGAATAGCGCAAAAAGTAAAGTAAAGTGAATCCTTCGATTTCCAGTGTTGAGGCATGTTTCAACTCATGCATGTATGCATCGAAACATGCTCTCCTTCGACCCTATTTTTACAAGTCGAAACCAGTGTGGTTCGAAGCATAGGTCGTTCGATTCACACATCCCTTATGCTTTCCTGCAAGTTAGTATATTCAAAGCAAGTGTGCATGGAAGCATATGTATTGAAGCATGTATGCAACGAACGGGTGTGTGTCGAAGCACACATTCTTTTCCTTTTTGTTTGAGCCTGTCGAAGAATTAAGGCTTTGTATCGAAGTATGCATATTTT